AGTATGGCACAATGTCATCAGCATGGCAAGCAGTCTGACAGAAGCTGAAAGAAAATTTGACCTTCATATTGAAATTAGAGACAAACTCGTGACAGATGTTTTACAAAAAGTTAAGCAGTGGCAAAAAGAAAATTATCACAAGAAAATGATTAGTTTTAAGGAAACCATTGAAGCTGAAGATGGCTTTAAAAAGGTGTGTGTGGAATTACATGTACCGTACTTCAAATATTATTAGTTCCTGTTCGAAAAAAGTCCAGAAACGGAGACCTATAATCTCACTTATGTGTGTCTGTGCATCAGTTTGTCTGTTTGTAACTTAGACATGCATTGACCAATCACATTCAAACTTCACTCTTACGTCATACATACATGCATTCATTCACTTCGTAAACTGATTCAAGATTATGGCTATTTTAGTGCTGAAATTTAACAAAATCAACCAATTCTGTCATCACATGTCAGTCATGTATGAAATGATTTCATTAAATTTGCTACATACATTGGACATTATGGGATGTTGTATTGCTGATATTTAAAATGCATGACTGGTTTCCATGGTTCAAACATGTTTCTATGTTTCAAACATACAAATTTTGTTCAGACTTCACACGCACATCATACTTTTTGGGATACATATGCATATGTATTTGTTTTAATTGTTAGAATTCAAGAATGATTGATTGGTGTCTATTTTGGCCATTCTGAAAACTGATCAAATCATACTTTACACAATACATTATACACCATGTCGAGTAAAAAATTACTGGTTTATCATGGGACATGCATGTATGTACATATATACACTTTATCATCAGATACAACAGGAGTTTCATACTTCTTTACTGTGAATATTGTTGTAGAATTCAAAATTAATAGGGACCATGAAGGGTTTAATGCTTTAGAAGCTGATCATGGAAAAATTTAAAACAGTCAGATAAAAAAATACATTTTCACTTTTTGTAAAGGTTCAATAAATTTCATAATCATTTTGAACCATACAGACAGTTTTAGATATTGCTTTTAGTTTAATGTCAGGGTTTGTCAACATATCATGTGAGAAGAAGAAAACTATACAAAATCAGTTGATAATGGCACTCAAACAGTTAATAACAAAAATGTTTTTTTTTTCAGGCTCAAAAGCCATGGGCTAAGTTATTATCTAAAGTCAATAGTTCACGGAAAGCTTACCATAGCTCATGTAAATTGGAAAAATCAGCCATCAATCAAGAAAATAATGCCAAAGAGGATCCAGGACTCTCTCCAGATCAGGTAATAACAATTAGTAATATTTCAGGGCTTAAACTTCATGGTGGCATCAAGGCCTTTACTGCCAACAAGTTTGGATTGGTGCCCTTGGAGAAATAGTGATATTCGTCCCTGAAATTGAGTGCCCCCTCTAGCACTGATTTTATTATTGTGTCTAGATTAATATGATGTAGATGCATGCAGTATCACTAATCCTCTAGTGTTCAACTATGAATACGAATTGCATCTGTCGACTGCTTGAGTATGTAATGCATTTTCTACATTTGTGTTGTTTGTTTTCAATAGATAAAGAAGTTGCATGACAAAGTTGAGAAAGCAAAACAAGATAAAGTCAAAACAAAAGAAAAATATGAGAGAGCTCTCCATGAAATAAACCAGTACAACCCCCGCTACATGGAAGACATGTCATTGCAGTTCGATAAGATGCAGAATTTTGAGGCAACTAGGTTAAAATTTTTTAAAGAGATATTGTCTGACATCCATAAATGTCTAGATCTTTCATCTCATGCCAAGTAAGTATTTTTATATGGAGGTTGGGTTCATTAATTGATTCATGAAGAAGAACAAATTTAATTTATGGGGGCCATTTCTTAACTTGTAATTGAAGATGAGAATAAATTAAAAAAATATGTTCATTTGTTTTATTTAAATTGAAACTGTGTTGAGGCTAGTGTAAAACACTAAACATGCACCCAGCATTCACATGTAACTTGATTTATGAAAAGATATCACTATCATAGGTTTATTAGTCCCGTTCGACGAGTCCGAAAACGGGGACTTATAATTCTGT